GCAACTGTAGATGTTTTAAGGTCTGTAGAAATAACTGCCCATATTCTAGGTAGAGGAGTGATATTATGGTTAACATACTGATGAAAAAAAAAGGAAGAGCTCTGATTCCAAATTCTGTTAGGTGTGTCCTATAGGGCCTTGCACAAATCATCCTGCTCATCTGGGTGCTCCAGGGTCCTAGCAAGTGGACTTAATAATATCAACTGTTTACCTGACAGGACTGTATGCACAGGGTATGATGAGGGGATATAAATACAAAACATATCGACTTCAAAGTTATTTTCTCATAACGAGCTTCCAGAACCTGCTTTCCTTCAGAACTCATAAAAAATAACTATAAAGTAGGGTGAAAAAAAATTTAACTGGGGCAATATTTTCTAGCAAAAACTCTTCTTGCCTTATGTAGATGCTTGAGGCTATGTATAAAGGCATGTGACAGTAGTCTTGAGCAGCTCTTCTGCTCACAGAAGCACATTTTTACCAAGCTCTGGACCACGAGTGACCAAGTCAGAATAAAATTACTATAGCTAAACAAGTGATTCTGTGTCAGTTACTGTCTTGAATTATATATGGGATAATTAGATTTCAGTGGAATATGAGTCTGATGCTTTTTAATGTCTTGGGATGGGGGTTCTTGTGCAATGTTGTTTTTGAGATAGTGTCCTAGTTAGAACAGCTGGGACCAGTTAATCACTGTATGAGTGTAACCCAAAACTGTGTATTCTATAGCCTTCCCTGCCATTTCCCAGAAACTGTTATCCATAGACTGTTTACACCCTCTGCCCAGAGCAGCCTGACTCCTCAGGCTATAAACTAGGCGTTAAGAAGCCTGCAAGATAGGAAGGTGCCCCCTGTCCTCACCCATTGTGGAACTCCCCGCCCTGAGGGAGATACTGGGCATTCCTGCCTGAACTGGAGAATATATAATCTTGGAGTCTCGGAACTTCTCGTGGGATCCAAAGGAAGACTACAGACCACCACTCTCGACTGGACTGCAACCATCACTTTTCAACCGGACTGCAACCACCACCCTCGACCGGACTGCAACCATCACTCTTGACCAGGCTGCACCAGCACTCTCACCAACAGGTTTTCCCCTCTCCTTTTACTTTGGACTCAGGGGGCCCAACGAACACCACTCTGTTCATGCCCCAGGGTGCTGGGTTATACATTTGGGTTTTGTTGGTTAAAACCAATTGTTTGTCTGTATAATTGTACTTATTATATTATTTTATTAAATTGTTATTCTGACTTATAATCTCTCTTTTGAGTTGGGTTCATTTCCCCTGCTGATTTACCTTTAAACCAGCACAGGTAGGCACGACATTAAGTCAAAGCAGATCCTTCTCTGTAAATGGGTTTAGTAATACATCAGTACTGCCAGTGCTATTGCTTCTGCTATTGATATATAGCCAACCTTTGCCACACAAATTTTGTGTTAATATTTTGGTTTGCATCCTAAAGATTCATGAAATTCACTGCAAGAAGAGTGGGTCTGTATTCTACAATGTTAAGGGTTAAAAGAACTGCCTGGACACTTTGGGTGCTTGTCAAGATAAGCTGAAAAGAAGCAGAGGTCTGTGAATCAAGGTTATTTGTTTGCATTCTTTCAGTTATCTGTTCCTAGACAACTGGAGACATTTTGGAGAAACCGTCATAAACTTTGCTGCTGTTTGGAATGAAAAACTGTAAGAAGGGTGAAAGATACCGTTTTTCACTGACATGCACATCAAGGAAAATTATTTAAGGGCAATTGAGAAGATATTTTCAGATACTGGACTGTCACCCATAAAAAAAAAAAAAGCTGTTTTTACAAGGAATTCTATAAAAGTAGTAGCATACTGGAATGCTGCTCAACTTGCTTCTCTTTAAAAACAAACAAAAAATCAGGCTTTTTTGTTCAAGCAATCCTCATCTTTTAACCTCCTATTCTGCTTGAGCCTC